AGAAGCCCATAGACTGAAAGTGAAAGGATGAAAAACAATTCTTCATGCGAAAGGAGCCCAGGAAAAAGCAGGGCTAGCAATCTCATTTGCAGACAAAGTAAATTTCAAACCAAAACTGATTAAAAGAGACAAAGAAGGCCACTATATCCTTGTAAAGGGAACAATTCAAGAGGAAGAGATGACAAACATAAACATATATGCACCAAATACTCATGCCCCCAGCTATATAAAAGAAATATTAAGTATCATGAAAAACCAAATAAGCACTAACACAATTGTAATGGGGGATCTAAATACCCCACTTTCACAAATAGACAGATCATCTAGGCCAAAAGTCAACAACGAAATACTAAAATTGAACCAAACTTTTGAAAGCATGGACTTAATAGACGTTTATAGAGTGCTCCACCCCACAAAATCAGAATATACATTCTTTTTGGCTGCACATGGGTCATTCTCCAAAATAGATCACATATGAGCTCCAGAACAGGTTTGAATAAATGCAAAAGAATTGAAGTTATTCCCTGTATATTATCAGATCATAGTGCAATCAAGCTGGAGATCAATAGCACAAGAAACCATAGGAACTTCACAAACACATGGAAATTGAAAAACAATCAATGGATCACAGAGGAAATTAAGGAAGAAATCAGACAATTTTTACAAATAAACGAAAATGCCAAAACAACATACACGAATCTATGGGACACAATGAAAGCACTTCTACTTGGAAAGTTCATAGCACTGAATGCCCACACTAGGAAAACAGAGTGAGATCAAATAAATGACCTAATGATGAATCTTAGACTCCTAGAAAAACAAGAGCAAGAAAATCCAAAGTTTGAACAAGAGAGGAAATTATAAAGATAAGAGCAGAAATCAATGCAATGGAAACTAAGAAAACAATACAAAAAATAAATGAATTGAAGAGTTGGTTTTTTGAAAGAATAAATAAAATTGATAAATCCTTAGCTAACCTTATCAAAAAAAGGAAAGAAAAGGATCAGATCCATGCAATTAGGACTGAAAAAGGTGAAGTCACAACAGATCCAACAGAAATCCAGAGGATAATCAATACTTCCTTTGAGAACTTGTATTCTAACAAAATGGAAAACACAGAAGAAATGGACAGATTTCTAGATACTTATGAATTACCAAAGTTGAACAAAGAAGACAAAAAATTTTAAACACAATTACAATCAATGAAATTGAAAATGTAATTAAAAATTTGCCAACAAAGAAAAGCCCAGGTCCTGAAGGATTCACTGCTGAATTTTACAAGACATTTAGAGAAGAACTACTGCCATTACTCTTCAAACTTTTCAATGAAATTGAAAGGGAAGCAATACTTCCAAACTCATTCCTAGAAGCAAGTGTCACTTTGATTTCCAAACCAGGGAAAGATGCAACTAAAAAAGAGAACTACAGGCCAATCTCCTTAATGAATATAGATGCAAAAATCCTTAATAAAATACTAGCAAGCAGAATTCAGAGGATCATCAAGAAGATCATACATCCTGACCAAGTTGGATTTATTCCAGGGATACAAGGATGGTTCAACATACGTAAGTCAATAAATGTAATACACTATATTAACAGAGTCAAGGACAAAAATCATATGATCCTCTCAATAGATGCAGAAAAAGCATTTGACAAAATTCAACATCCATTCATGATAAAAACCCTGCAAAAAATTACAATAGATGGTCTATATCTCAACTTTATAAAGGCTATCTATGAAAAACCAACAGCCAACATCATATTACATAGCCAAAAACTGAAAACCTTCATGCTAAAATCAGGAACAAGACAAGGATGCCCACTATCACCACTCCTCTTCGATATAGTTCTGGAAACATTGGCCATAGCAATTAGAGAAGAGGAAGAAATTAAAGCAATAAAGATATGAAAGGAAGAAGTTAAATTGTCATTATTTGCTGATGATATGATACTCTACATTGAAGACTCAAAAAACTCTACCAAAAGTCTTCTAGACTTAATTGACACTTTTAGTAGAGTAGCTGGATAGAAGGTCAACACCCAAAAATTAATAGCCTTCTTGTCGCCAATAACAGAGTCACTGAGAGAGAAATTAGGGAAACAATTCCTTTAACAATAGCATCCAAAAAAATGAAGTATCTAGGAATCAATCTAACAAAAAAAGCAAAAGACCTCTACACTGAAAACTACAGCACTCTGAAAAAAGAGATTGAAGAGGATATAAGAAAATGGAAAGATAACCCCTGCTCCTGGGTAGGAAGAATCAACATAGTGAAAATGGCCATACTCCCAAAACTGCTATACAGATTCAATGCAATGCCAATTGAAATTCCAACAGTGTACTTCACAGAACTAGAAAGAAGAATCCAAAAATTCATTGGAACCAGAAACCTAGAATAGCAAAAGCCATCCTAGGCAACAGAGACATAGCAGCAGTTATAACAATTCCCAATTTGAAACTATACTACAAAGCCACTGTGATAAAAACATAATGGTACTGGCAAAGAAAAAGGCCTGAGGATCAGTGGAACAGATTGGAAGACACAAAAACAACTCCAGATGTACTCAGCTATGTCATCTTGACAAAGGATCTGACCATCCTCAGTGGAGGAAAGATAGCCTCTTTAATAAATGGTGTTGGAAAAACTGGATTTCAACCTGCCAAAGATTAAAACTGGACACTTATCTTTCACCATGCACTAAATTAAAATCCAAGTGGATTAAGGATCTAAACATTAAAAGAGAAACACTAAACTTGCCGGAAGATAAGTTAGGCAGAACTCTTGAAGACTTTGGCATAGGAAAAGACTTTTGAACAAATCCTCAGTAGCACAGGAACTAGCACAAAGAATCAAGAAGTGGAATCTCATCTTATTAAAAAGCTTCTGTACTGCAAAATTTAAACCATCAACAGAACTAAGAGACAACTACAATGTGGGAAAAAGTTTTTACCAGCTGCTCCTCAGACAAAGGACTACTATCGAAAATATATAAAGAACTCAAAGCAATCAGCCCCCCCCAAATATAATGACCCAATTCATAAATGGGCATCTGAAATGAACAGACATTTCTCAGACAAAGAAGTAAAAGCAGCAAGTAAATATATGAAAAAATGTTCCACATGACTGATCATTCGAGAGATGCAGATGAAAACAACACTGAGATTCCACCTCACTCCTCAAAGAATGGCTGCTATCAATAAATCAATCAATAACAAACACTGGCCGGGTTGTGGGGAGAAAGGAACCCTTCTCCATTGTTGGTGGGAGTGTAGACTGGTGCAACCACTATGGAAATCAATACGGAGATACCTGAAAGAGCTAGGACTAGAGGTTCCATTTGACCCAGCTATTCTTCTGCTGAGTGTCTTCCCAAAAGAATTAAAAGAATCATACCACAGTGATATATGCATACCCATGTTTATAGCGGCACAGTTTACAATAGCTAAAATTTGGAAACAGCCCATTTGCCCATCAGTTCGAAACTGGATAAAGAAGATGTGGTTTTTCTATAAAATGGAATACTACTCAGCCATAAAGAATGAGAAATTAGATTCATTCATAGGAAAATGGATACATATTGAGGATATACTCCTAAGTGAAATAAATAAGTCACACATGTATAAATACCGAATAGTTTCTCTGGTGTGAAAAACTGTAATAGTACATAAGATCCTAATGAGATAACTGACATTGTGAAATGGGAAGAAAAGGGCTAAAGGTGCAGGGAAAATGGGAAGGGTAGGGGAAAGGTAATAAGGGAAAAGAAAAAAAATATGACAAAATCTAAAAATGGAAATAAAGTGTTTGTAAATGGGGAGGGGAGGAGGGGGTGAAGGGAGGGCAGGGACAAGGGGAAAAAATGAGAACCAAGACCTGTCATGTAAAGGTACAAGATCCCAATAATGAATGTAGTTGTACTGTATACCTTAAATGTACCAATAAATTTAATTAATAAAAAAAAAATATCAAGCTGGGCAAGGTAGCTCATGCCTGTAATCCTAGCACTCAGGAGGCTGAGGATCACTGTGAGTTTGAGGCCAGCCTGGGCTACACAGTGAGTTCAAGGTCAGCCTGTACTACATAGTGAGACCCTGTCTCAAAAAACAAAAAAAAAGGGGCTGGGGATTTAGTCAGCGGTTGGGCGGCCTGCTTTGCAAGCGCAAGGACCCAAGTTCAATCCCCGGTACAAAAATACAAAACAAAACAAAAACCCAAATATCCCAAGAGGGGATTCTGCATGAATTTTTTTTTCTCATTTTCTATTTGCTCTATTGAATTGTAGCTTCTGCTTCCATTTTCCTTCTGGTACAGATAAAATCATGGGAATTTGAGTTTGATCCCTGGTACCAAAAAAAAAAAAAAAAAAAT